CACATCACCAGCCTCAGAAAAAGGAAACAGAATATTAGTTTCTGAAGGCTTCAGAAATTTATATTCCACTGTCGGCTTTGAAATCTACTCAAAACAACTCCTGGATAACCAGTCAACAAGTAGAACTGGGCCCAGTATGGAGGTTTCCAGCCTGGACATGCAGGAAAAAAAAATTCCTCTGTAGATTTGCTTCTTTTTTGTGTGTGTTTATTTTATTTTCTCAAGTCTACAGAGTTTTATTTTTTGTCACCCATAAATTAGCTGTATTACCTCATCCAACCAGATGTTCTCTAATATTTAGGCTTCAGTGAAATCTCAGATTTTCTTCAATATTTTGTATTTTACTTTTGGTTTTCTTTCTTTGAACATTTCTTTGTTTAATTTTCAACAAATAATGGTCACATTAGACCTTACAGGTATAATTTTTAAGCTCCTCCTCAGCAGAAATAAAATCTTTGTAGGAATGGATCTGATTTTTTTTTATTAATATGAGTGAAATAATGTGTTAAAAATTTTTAAGGCTTGCTTGGAGGAGGAGGAGGATCTCCTTCTACGGCTCCAACATGGCCGACATAAAGAACTTCCTGTACGCCTGGTGTGGGAAGAAGAAGCTGACTCCCAACTACGACATCCGGGCTGCAGGAAACAAGAACAGACAGAAGTTCACGTGTGAAGTGAGTTCTCCATCTTTGTTCAGCGGCAGCTGTCAGCGCCATCTTTAATTCTGCTGACCCGCCTCACTTCTCCTGCAGGTCCGAGTCGACGGCTACAACTACATGGGGATGGGAAACTCCACCAATAAGAAGGACGCTCAGACCAACGCCGCCCGCGACTTCGTTAACTATCTGGTCCGAGTTGGAGAAATCAATGCTGCGGAGGTTCCTGCTATCGGGGTCAGAATCCTGTTTTATTCTTAGGTTCGGCTCAAGTTCAGGGACTGCATCCTTCAAAGGGCGCCGCCCACATAGACCGGGCCCTCCACCGCCTGAACACATCTTTAGTAGCTTTAAAACATAGCCTGAACTGCTTTCCTGTTCTTAGCAGGCCGGAGAAACTACTGATTTCTGAATTCATCTATAATGTTTGATCTGAACAGAGATGGAAAGAGAGGAAGGCTACGTCAAAGCATGAATGTAAACGGTCATTATTTAAGGAGGATGGATCATTTTTAACCAGAAATTCATCATAAATCAAACGGGATTTAAACCGTTTTTCAAAGAACTGAGAAAAGGGAAAGAAAAAAAAAAAGAAAATATGAGTTTAAAATGTGAGTTCTTTATTTAGTAAAGAACTTTATAATCAGGTTGTTTATCAAAACGTCTCTTTCTGTTTGCATGAATTTGACTGCCTACAATCATAATGGATTCTTAATCAGTTTGTAAATTCACAAAAACACATCTTGCCAGAAGCCAACAGATGCATTAGCCTCAAAAACAGAAATGTTTAGAGCAATGAAATGCAGGAACGCATATGACATCAACCAGAGGCTGCAGACTGAAGCAAAACAAACATGGCCGCATCATTAGATGTACTTGTTAACAGTTAGCTAGAGTACTTGAAACTTATCTGTTTTAGCTGGAAAAACAAGCAAAATGACGTGATCTGGGGCTTTGTGGGAAAGATGTTTGCGTGTTCCTCAAGACTGCTGTAGCTACCAGATCTGCTCGGGTCCTGCTTCATGCCAGTGACGTTACTCTACTGTAACATGCCTGTTAGAACCACTGAAAAAAGTGAAGCCATCATCTGCCATGCTGGTCCTCCCCACTCCAACAGAGACATGCAGAAAAAATGCCTCCCTGTGCAGCATTTGGCTGCAAAAACAAACAGTTTTCTTGCTGCAGGAAGACGTTCCTCAGGTAATTTCCCAGTCAGTGGATGAACTAAGCAATAAATCCAACTTTACGCTCATGGATCCTATAGTATAGCATGTAGCGTAACATTAGTGTGGCTATCTCAGACTGACTGGAAGACATTGACTGAGTTAGCCTTTGACACTTGGTCTAACATTAGAAAATAGAAAGTAGAGGAAATAGAAAGTAATTCACTGTGAAATGTTAATGTAGGAATTCTTTATTAAATGGATGACGCTGTCGTTTTTTTTATTTAGTGTTAGTGTTTTCTCATTTATAATGTGCTGAAATATTTTGCACGTTATGTTGACAGAACAAAAGCAACTCAAACATTTGACCCCTATATATATAGATATATATATATATATCTATATATATAGATATATATATATTAGACATGGAAAGATTTATGAAAACCGTCTGAATCGTTCGGTTCGACTGTCTCAATTCGGTTCGTGTGTGTTTCGTTCGGTTCATGCGCTGCTCCTTTTTCTCATAGGCAAAGCGTTTACACTCCAGAGCAGAAGGTGGCGGTACTGCGACCAAAGCCAACCACCAGTAGTAAACAAGAAGAAGAAGCGAAGCAGCATAGCCGGGTGTAGCAGAAAAAAATCAGTTGTAGTGGAGAATTGTGTGGGTATGGCAAGTACCGGTAGGAAAGAACAGGAGTTGGAAGACGCGCCAGCAGCACTTTATAGGTCTGCTGTATGGGACCACTTTGCATTTA